GTTCAGTTCATATATCAAGTTTAATGTTTTTTAGTGAATTTTAAGTTTTCAGAGTTTTTTTTTTTGATTATTTTTAATTGTTTATTGCATTCGTGATACCTTTCAAAGCCTAGGAACTTTCTAACAACATATCAACACGACCTTCGAAATCCGCGAAATCTCAGCGTGGAACTCCAATCTTACAGGCTCGCAACTCGAATTTTTCGTAAATTTAAGGATTTTGAATTTCAGCCTGAACTCTAACATATCATTCTGCTTTATTTTTTTGGTTGTTGTTCATCTTACACATTGCACTTACACATTAGAGGTTGTGATTTTCTTTTGGACGCATTGTTTCTTTCGTTTTTTTTTTCGAAAAATTCTCATATGTATTGTTTGGTCTGTCTGCTCACGTTATTCTGGGGAAATTTACCGCATCGGGGAAGAATTCTGTTGAAATCCACGGCATCAGAATTGCAGAAACATACAAACGTAGCCTGATGAGCTATAAATCATCTTCATTTTCAACTACTGTACTTTGGTACTTTGATCAGCTGCTTTTCTCATCATGGCAAGTTTTTTTGCCAAAGAGCATCTGGCACAGTTTTCATGGTTGTTGCGACTGAAATTGCATTGCCTCACAATTAGCATGCCAGATATGCGATAAACCAGTCCTATTTTCAGTACTTCAGGTTTAACGCTACACATTCATCTATTGGTTCGTTTAAATTTTAAAGTGGTAAACGCGGCAGGCTGTAATTCAGACATTTTTTCAGCATATGTAAAATGTGCCAGTTTTTAAGGTGTTAACATGCAGAAATTCTCTTTTGTATTTTCTTTTGTGTGTGCGGATAAAGCATGTCACCAGTTATGGCAGACACCAAAATATTGATATACTTTTAATAACTGGCAACATTCGGGAGCTGTATACTCAGCAGGATAAGACGGGCACCATTTGGGGCAATCGCGCGAAAACGGACCTCAGTATATTGACAAAAAAATTAGATAAATTATTCGAATCACCAAAAGCACCTAGACAATAGTATAGGTGGAATAAGTGGTCTTTCCAGGTGCAATGAATAATCGATTTCAGAGAGGTGTTTTTACACATTAAATGGCCTAAAATTTCTCAGAAGTTCTGTAAATGTTGAAGATTTTTCCACAAGTTCTATGAACAGCAGTGATAACGAATCTACCATTACTAAGGTTCCACAAAAAATTTTAGCGGTAATTCTACGTTCAAATGAGTTGCCATTAAAAGAATTTTAATAGCTATAGGTACCAGTTATGAAATATACTAGCATATGCGGGGATTTGCAGAGCAGTACTTCGCTTTGGCAAATTCGCAAGATTAGGTGCTGGGAAGGAGAACTTCTTCAGAACGTTCGAATATTTTGCGTTACTCCCCTCTATTTTCTCTTTTTACCACTGTTCCGTTTTTGATGACGTTGTGAACAGACTATAATAATAAAAGACTGCATCATAATTATGACCGGCGGCAAAGCTGTGTGACTGCGTTGTGTGAGACGGGGCTGCGATCGGTTTTGGCGGGGTTCGGGATGGGTGATGTGCTAGGAGACTACCCCAATATTTCTGTACTGGTCAGAATCTGAGTGTCAGCATTCTTGACGCATTTCCTTCGAACGAAACCTTCCTGAAACGCTACCGCTCAACAGCATTTTATCAAAGAGCACCCCAAACCTGTACCGGTATTCTCTCGACATAATCTCCTTCACCTGTGTACCCCAAATGTACTCTCATCGACATTTTGCCTGCGGCTTGTACCTCGACTCTTTGACGCTGATGCTATTTTCAACACTGATTCGCGACGGTTCGCACTTTTGCACACTTAGTTTTACAACAAAGATAACATGTTCTTAGTAAGCTTTTGCTTTGCTTAAGAGTTCACCACAGTCGCAGTAATTGGCTAAGAAGCGAGGATTTGAGATTTTGGTCGGTAAAGAAGTGGAAAACGCTCGCCAGTAAATTAAACTTATCATGGAATATCAGAAAAAATATTATTCTTTTGGAAGGCGAATTTATAATTTCAGCAGTAGAGCTGGGACCGGTGCAGGCAAAACAATAAAATAAAATAATCCCTTGTACAATAAAATGATCTTTTGCTTAGATAGGT